GCATTCCTGTGATGCTTAAATCCATAGGAGAAAATAAAAGTGTGGTTTTCCATGACAGGTTGTATACATAAGTTATAGAATGTGCACCAAATGTAAGTTCTTTCTCATTTTTGTAGGGAGCTTCGTCAGGAAGCAGCCAGTATGGTGGACAGGTAAAACTTCTTCTTCCATAGTATTTGCAGTTTCAGGACACAGTTCATTAGGAAAACTGACCTGTGGTTTTTGCAAAACCAGGAACATTTTGAGAAAGAATAGCTTGAAACCAAACTGAGGACTGCCAAGTATGGGTCTGTCTGCTAGAGCAGATCATGGAAGGAGCCAATGATGCCGGGGTGTGTTTGACTGCATGGGAACACTTCCTTAAACAACCTGTGGTTCTGAGAAGCCCGTTTTGTTGTTATGTTTAAACAGAAGCAATCTGAAAGTCTAAGGAGCGCAGAGAACAAGTGAGAATGTTACTCAGTAACACAGAAATAATCAGTTATTCCTTCTTCCAGGGTTCTTCAGGAGGCAGCCAGTACAGCGGACAGGTATGCTTCCCTTTCTCCACACCAGTTGTGCTCGGGGCAGGCACTCACAGCTTACTTTGACTCTCCTTCCCACACAAGAACTGTGTTCTGCCAACACTGTCCTTGCCCATTTCATGCAGATGAATGTGGAAAGTGAGACACTGAATGGTGTGCTCCTGGCCACTTCTCAGTTAGTTTTCTCACCCGGTAGAGTGAGAAGTAGTAATGTGTGTGTTTGCTGTAACATCTGTAGCATGAAAGAGGTATATTCCAGTTGCTCTGGCCTCTTACTCTTTTGGTGGGTGAGGATTTCACTGCAAGTTTTAAATGAGAAATTAGAAGACTATATTTAAAACTTGGATCAGTAGGTAAAGAGGTAGCCTGAAAGGATGGTGAAGAAAGAAACTCCTTTTTAAATGGAGCTTGGTGAGTCTACGAGCAGGATTTTGGAGTCTGTTTTCTTGCAGTAGCAGAATGTGAGCTTGATTTACTAATTCAGAGGCTTCCTCCAGTCATAGACTCAGGAAAATAAGTTTGGCTGTTTTTTATGCAGGGCGGATGTGTGTGCCCTGGTGGAAGTACAGTAAGTACTCTTTGGTCTTCTATATTGATCATGGTATGTAATTCCCAAGGAACTGCATTGCTTGAAATCATTCTGGCTGTGAATTTGTATGTATGATGGAAGTTGTTTTCACATTGTGCTAAAATGAGGGATTCTGAACCTGCTAAGAACAAAAGCACAAAGCGACTTGCAACTGTTCTCAAAAGTAGCCACCCAGACACACTTCTGTTTTCAAGGAAATACATGGAAATAATTACCCTTTCCCCACCCTGGATTAAAAAAGTAGTAATATTCCTGGTATCTGTATTAATACTAAAATTAGAGCTAACTCTGTAAAATATTTGGACATGAAAAACTGCTTCAAAACTTTAATTTCTTTTGGTTTGTAACAGATGCCTGGAACTTTGCTAAGAATCTGTTTCCCAAGTGTCTCACAGTGCATCTGCTGATGTTTGGACATGTGTGTGTGTAATAGTGCTCTTCTTAAGATGGTTATTACCTGTTCTGATTGAACTAGTAACACTCAGATTTTGGTCCAAAATGCTTCCAAGTGGGAGCAGAGCAATACATTTAAAAAGTTAAAGCTTTTTGTTTCCATTTTCCTGTCTAATGAGTGAGTATATTGCCTGTACTTGCGTAAATACTTAAAACAAAAACACACACACAAAAACAAGGACCCTTCCCCATCCCCTCTTTTGCTGAAATTCAGCTAATTTATTTTTAAGGGAAGGTTCAGTTATCTGTTGTCTCAGAATAGTCAAAATTGCTTAGATGGCTACTTCTCTTTCTCAGTTTATGAAATCAAGCATAAATACACCAGTAATGGGATATATGCCACTTCTGAGAATCTGAAGTGCTGAAAACATGTAAATTATCAGTTTACTTCTCTTTGCAAGCAAATAACCTGAAGAAATGAGGATGAACTAACACTAAATCCTTTACTTCTTTAATTGACCAAATAGAAAAGTTATCAGTGCAGATGACTTGATCACTGCAATAGGTCAATATGTTCTCTTGGTTTTCCTCTGCATGACATTGTATTCAATTCAGAGTAAAAATTGCTATTTTTCTTGAATACAGGGCTTTTATGCAGGAAACAATTACCATGGTAGACAGGTAGGCAACTTGTCTTTAACATTTGCACAGATTAGTTCCTCGGGGATAAACGTGCCTCAGCTGCCACAGTTGCCCAGAGCCATTGAATATTGAGTTCAGTTTAGTCACGGAGGTAGGGACAATAATTCCAGAGAGTGCATGTGGCTTTTATTTAATCCCTGTTGACATTGCAGTTACATCTTTCTACCAGAGCCAAGATTTCACTGTGTAGCTATAGAAGCTTTCTTAACTTGAAAATTTTCAACACTGGAGAATAATATGGGCTTCATCTCATTGCATACACCACTAACCTGATGTGCAGAGAAGCAGCCACTGCATTAATAACTGTAATATTCTTCCAGTCAATGAGTGCCATGAGTGTTGTTTAGATGAGGTCCAGGTTTCTGATGCCAAGTGGTATTTAAAAACATCATTTCCAAACGTTTCTCGCTTCTTACAGGGTTCATCCTACTCTGGGAACAGCCAGTACGGCGGACAGGCAAGCAATGTTTCTTTGCTCTCAAGATCTTCTTCCTACTTGCTATTTAGCCAATGAAAAGTAGGATGCAGTGTACCTGCTGCCAGGCACTTTCTCAGAGCCCTTTTACTCTCAGTAAATACCTGAAAACAGGGTCTCTTTCCCAGTAAATGAAATGGAGTGACGTGAATAAACTCCAATTTAAAGACGCCGCACAGATCAGCATTTCAGGTTTTTTACTTCTTATCTCTCAAGTGACAATTTGAATTCACCATTTTTCAGTTTCACATCCCTATGATACCAAAAGCTCTTATCTCCTCTGTTATTCTTCAATTATATTATCATTTTCTTCTCTTTTTTGCATTTGCTTTGATTAAGTACTTAGAAACTTGGTACAAGATCTACCAATAGATATTGCTTTCAAAACACACATTCTGGTGTGTTACCCACAATAACACTACTTTACTCATCTTCAGCTGCAATTAGAGCCTCTTACTGCAAGCAGCTCCCTACGTACCTTTTGTAGACTTCGTAGTTTGTCACTGAGTGAGAAATCTTGCTAGCCCAAAGAGTTAACAGATGGAAGGGATGGCTCTCTGACAAGAAGGTGGACCATATTTTTCACAAGTATTACTCTGTTTGCAAAGTTTCACTCTGCTATACTAAAAAAATCATTTCTTTTTACTCCATTGGCAAGCATTTGAGTTCAATATCACTCTAGTAAGATCATTTCTTGTAGCATGGAGAGGATTTTTAACAGCTGCAAAACAAAACTTCCCAGAACACTTATTTTCTTAGAGTAATACACATGAAACTCTCTGACCATGTTTTTGACCTAGAGAATCACAAATAAAGTAGATTTTTCCCCCCCTTGAACAGAGCCACACTTAAAGACACTTTATACCTGTATATTTATGTCAGAGAACAGATGTCACAAAACATCTTAGCAGGTGTTCTGTGACTGCCAAATTTATTACTTTGAAGTGTTGAGGAACTTAGAAGAATTAAGTCAGAAGTGTTTCCACATTCCTACTGGGACCTCCTGTCAGAAGATCCTCTTGTGAGGTTTCATTCTGCACAGAAAAACACAAAAATGCTTAAACATTTAGGTTTCTTGTGACTTTTTTAATAGGGATCCTCAGGAAGCAGCCAGTATGGTGGGCAGGCGGGTATATTCTCTTCCCACCCCATCACTCCTACATCTTTCTCTGTACTGTCTGGATCAGGTCATTTACTTGATGCTATAAGACACATTCATCTGACCATGTTACTGAGCTTAAATAGTTGAGGTAATGTTGATTGAAGTTGTTTCAGCAAGCTGAATAAAAGAATTGGTAACAATGAATTACTGCTCTGTGTAAAACATTATCATTGCTATGCTGTATTTCATAGCACCACTTTCTTGATTCAGCATAATAAATTGCTGCACATTTTGATTTGCAGTAGACAGCTTAAGTTTTAGGAGCCCCAGTTACTTTTTGCTCATATAACATCCAAGTGAGTTTGTCCTAAGTATTGCACAAATTGTCTCAAGACAGTGGTAGAGGATTTGTTCATTCAATTAATAGATGTTTGATTGACTTCTTACAGGACTCATATTCTTCTGGAGGCAGACAATATAGTCAAGGAGTAAGTAAAAACAATTCAAGTTTTTCTTTTTTTTCTTGCAGGATATATTATTA